TTACTTTATATAAGAGTCTACCAAAATCAATCGAACTAAACAACGAACTAGGTCGGTGATGATTTTAAAAATAATTCGGGATAATAAATCAACTGTGTCAACACACTCCGTTTTTTAGCAAATTGCTTCATTCTAACATACCTAATGATATCAGTATCATCTTTTGTAACTTCCGATGTACCGACCTTTTTGCTGTAGAGTGAGCCGTCTTCGGGGAAGACGCGTTTACTTTTTCTTGAACAGAGATTTCACAGTTGGAAAATAAATTGGCATCAGATTCGAAATAACAGTTGATTAGCTTAGGTTTAAATTTTATCTTATTTATTTTTGGGTAAGAGCTGCTAACTAACCAAATATCCAACATACAGAGTAATGATAATAAATACTAACAATAATAATGATAACAATGGTACACATGTCGAAATGAGACATTCCCTCTCCCAATTCGCATTGAACTCAGATAATTACCTATGATCGAGAACTTGTGCGGATTAGCTCTGATGTCACTTGTTAGTTAGCAGTTTCATAATGAAGCATCTGGTAACCTGGATTAGTTGTTCAGGAGCGGATTTACCATTTAGAGGGCATATTCTGCTTGTGATGCCAGTTTCGCTTACAATTAGTTTAAATACCGTATTACATTATATCTGAAAAGTGGGAAATCAAAACACCTCAATGAAAGTAGGAGAACTTGTATGAGATATTAGTGTTTTTAGATGCATTATTAAACGCCACGCAACATTTATTTGTTAAAAAACACAAATTTAAACATCAGCTCAACTTGCATAACAAATCCTTCTTTTGGTTGGTTTTGGATAGTTTCGTCGTGATATGATCGATTTGTGCCTGTGGTAAGAAGAAAGTCACATTAGTTTGCCGGAGAAAGCTTTTATATTATGTGATCTGGCATTGTGTTCCTGAAAATTCGATCTTGCAATTGCGGTATCAATGTAGTATTGAGCTTTCATGGAACTGTTCAAACAAATGGAACTGTTGGTTAATAGATTATCAATCGAAACAATTGTAGCACATGAGCTCCAATTGCCCAACATAGCATGACTGTTGTAGCATTTCAATTTTCTAAAGGAAAATCCCCTTGTACGTCTACTATCATGCTTCGTTCAAATTTACTTAATAGACACATTGCCAAATGCTCGGCAAAAAGGATTTTACTTGTTGATTTCTGTAAAACCGCCAGAAGTCCGATAGTTAGCCAAAAGTACTATAATTAAAAAGAATTAAAGGCACGTCGGCTTGTAAGGATTTTAACTATTCCCGCTGATTCATACACGCAGCGAACAAAACATAAACAGCGCAATATTGGAAACAGAACATGTCGAACATCAAAGGACTTCGCACGAGAATAAATCTGGTCAAAACTCTTTTACAATACAATTCCGTTTTGCTTTTGCTTTATGTTTTGGAAGCGTGAGATCTCGCAAGGTGGTTTCATGAACCCGTTCGAATGTACACGCATTTAAAAGGCCTTTCGGTTCACCTGATCCACATTTGAGGTTGGCGGCGGTTTGCTTTGTTTTCAATTCGAGCGCTGTTGCCTGCTTATGCCATATTTGCTCGGAATTACTTTTCGAGTCACGCATTTATTTTTAGTAAGTATATTATCTTTTCTGATCGGTTTGCTTACGCGGATGGCTCCGAGAATTTTATGAAATCTCATTTGCCGCTTGCAAGAAATCTCCGTTGATGTGTTGACGGATAGGCAACGTGGCATCTCTGGCAAAGCTTAGATACTTTTGCCGCTTGGTCGGTTTTTCAAATCTGACAAGGTCTCTCCTTTTCAAAGGGGATTTGCGGTCCTAATTCTTATTCAGCGGTAGCAGGGAATACGAAATAATTTTGAGCTGTTGCGCTATGTGAAGGTTCGGTCCCATGTAATAAATATGACGAAATTGGCCTTCGAGTATTGTTGCAAAAATGGTTTTGTCAATATTTGGTTGATTAGACTTAATGTAAAATTGAGATAGAATATTTTATATTTAAATAAAAGCAAGAATATAAAGTGTGTTATTTAACTTTTCAAAGAAACTACCACAGGCTGCTGTGTGCTTGACTGAGACTGAAGAAGCCAACAGGATGATTAGCCAAACGTTAGCAAGTTCGACTAAACAACAACCGATACAGGAGAAATCCAGAAGTTTTAGAAAAACTAGTGTGTTATTTAATATGTGTCCAATATTTCAATTCTCAATTGTTTTTTAGGTAAGAAGTTACGATAAATGCGTTACGATAAAATAGTTTGCCATTGAGATTCAGATTGACAAATTTTTATTTTTATGTTTGCTATTCCTGCATAAATTCAAACCTCGCTTTCATCCAATAAAATCGTGGCAATTCGACAGTTGTGAGTTTGAATTTCTAGGCATGCGCAGAAGATTACTTACAAAATGTCATTGCAGTCTGAGGCGCATCAATTTTTTTTTATTAGTGGCCCATATATTACCAAAATATTGTTCGAGATATGTAGTAATTTCTCATTATAACATTTATAAACCATGTTACCCGGTTAGGTATCATATTTTGCTTACTTTATCGAGTTCCAGAATATTTCAAGGAAATTTTATATTTTAAAAATTATTTTAGGATGTAGCAACAAAACTTATAAAATCAATTACAAAAAAAATAAGTTAATTCAAGTTAAACTGCGAGATTATATCACGTGTTGCAATAAATTTGTGTAAACATTTATTGCTTTCCATTTGGTAATTTCGAATACTCGTTTATCCAAAAACTATTTAGTGCCGTTGTTATAGTAAAATTTGATGTAACTGAGTTAAATTAACCCATCACATGATAATATATCCACCGAAAAATAAGACGTCTTTAAAGGAACTCGCACAATAATAAATGCCTCGAAAAGAATCTTTTGTCAGCGTTAGGCCGAAAGTTCTAAAAACCGATTTTTCAGTCTAAGAAAAGTGTGAAGAGTACGCTGGGCGAATACGAATTGATAACAAATGTCGCAATATATTGAATGAAAATCCCCAGGAATCGAACAAAATTTTCTCTCCCGAAACTTCGTTAAGCTTTACAATCGCGTAATAAATTTTTTAAAAGAACGTTTCTAATGAATTTATTGTGGGGACGCCGCTGTAGACGTTTTTGATGTGCCAACATTGATTTCACTCATTCTACAAGATTGGTGCGAACTATATTTCATAGATAAAAATTAATTGGTATTAGAACAGCCGACCTGAACTACTGATTTATATTTTTCCTGTTTTGTTTAAAATAAAGGAATTGGATAATTACATACAAATTTAAAACCACAACGAATGTTATACAAAATGTCCCGTGGATGTATTATTGAAAATCTACAAGTGTCGAAAATGTGAAAGTTTGCAATTATACTAAAGTCTAGCAGAGCCGCTTTTTACAAAACTTCTGGATTCCTCCTGCGTCGGTTTTTGCTAAGTCGAAAATGCTGACGTTTCGCCAATCATCCTGTTGGTTTCTTCAGAGTTTCATTGCAACTGGCTCGTATTTTACTCTGTACCTGCTTATATATTGCTTAATGGGGGGGGGGAGCTGATTTGAAGTTAACATCAGAATCAGAATTGAAGCATATTTGAAAAAATAACTTTGATTTCTAATATGTTAAGCACTCAAGGTTTTATTTTAAATATTTATAAACGAAACCAACGAGACTTAAAAGTTAAAAGTCATAAATACAGCATTACTTATTAATATGAGTAGACCCTAACAAATATTATTAGATTTTCCAATTGTTATTATTGTTACATTATTGTTCTTATTATTATTATTATTATTAAGTGCTGCCATTAACTATAAATGCCAGGTTTCCAAATATTTACCAAAAAATTGAAATTTTTCTATGACAGTTCAACGAAGTTAACAATAGAATATCGCAAATTGGGATAGACATGAATAACAATTACACCTCCAACGTCTAGGTAGTCACCATGGAGATTAATTATAATTTAAAATAAATAAATGACACAAACATTGTTTTACCACCTATTTATTCTCCTATGGCAGGGCTCCTTAAACTGTGGGTCGCGACCCCCAGGGGGGTCGCGAGACTACTGAAAGGGGGTCGCAAAGATCTGACATTTTTCAATCATTATAAATAAAATTTTAAAATTAGTATACACACTACTTACAAATATAAATACAAATAAAAATCATACAAAATGCTATTGTAGTTTTATTATAACTATTTTTTGAAAAAAGTGGCAATGCAAAACTGTTATGTAGGGCCTATAAATGAAAATATGGAGTAGCATTTAAAATAATAAATACAACGCGCTCCTCGATTTTCAACTGAACGTTCGACATTGATGTCTGGCCGCCGGCGTCAGTGTTTGCAAGATAACTTAGTGATTATAATTACCCAGACGCCGCGTCGCCTTACAGCTGACACATACAATACGGGAGCATAATCAAGCTAGGCTAGGCAAATCGGTATATTATTTTTATAAAAGAATAATAAAAAAAATTAAATGAAAGCTTCTTTTTCGGCGTCTTTGTGATAGGGTGCCTTTGTGCGCTGCACACTTTGAACACACCATGCGTCGGGGTTGATCTGATCGTGATTTGTTGTCATTGCACTGGTAAAGATTCGAGCGTAGTTATTTTTCTGTTTGTACTTCAGTTTGTCTTCGTAGTTACATGTGTGTATTTACTGTGTAATTTTCAGTTGGTGTTTTTAATTATTACGTTAAAGTTCAACTACATTTTGTTTAATTATTTATTATTATTTAACCATCATGGATAAATGGCTAATTAAAATTCCAACTAATAAGTCTGCCACGCCGTCACAACCAAGTTGCAGTGCTTCAAATCCGACTTCTAGCAAAACAAAAAAAAGAAAATTTGACGAACCATATTTGCAGTAGGACTTCACATGCTCTTCTCACAACAATGAAGAACAACCAGTGTGCTTAATTTGCAAAGAAGTTTTGGCTGCAGAAAGCATGAAACCGTCAAAACTTCAACGACATTTGAATACTAAACATACAATGTTATCAAAAAAGCCAATAGAATATTTTGAGCGTCTTTTGCAAACATCAAATAAAGAAAAGAACACTTTGGAGAAGTATGTTACTTTGAATGATAAATATCCATTGGCATCGTATGAAGTTTCGTATTTGTTAGCAAAAACGAAAAAGCCTTTTACTATTGGAGAGCAACTTTTACTACCTGCAGCTATAAGAATGTCTGAAATTGTTCATGGAAAACAGTATGCTGCTGAAATGAGTAAAATTCCATTATCAAATGACACTGTGTCCAAAAGAATTTCAGACATTAGCAATGATCAATTTCAACAGCTTCTTATGAGGCTTAAAGACAGCTCAAAGTTTGCAATACAACTGGACGAGTCGACAGACATTTCAAAAATGGCACAGTTGTTACTTTTTGTAAGATATATTTATAAGGGAAACATTCATGAAGATATACTGTTTTGTCGTCCTCTGGAAGGTCATACTCGTGGAAAAGATATATATAAAAGAGTTTTTTGAAAAAGAAGGATTAAATTGGAAAAATTGTGTTGGTGTGTGCTGCAGCAATGACCGGACAAGATCTTGGTTTTACAGCATTTGTTAAAGCTGGAAATGATCATATTACATTTACACATTGTATGATTCACCGAGAGGCACTTGTTGTTAAAAAAATTGCACCAGAATTAAACACTGTGTTTTTTGATGCAGTCAAAATCATTAACTTTTTTAAAAGTCGAGCACTTAATTGTCGATTGTTTAAAAATTTGTGCATTGATATGGATTCGGATTATACAAGTTTATTGCTACATGCTGAAGTTAGGTGGCTATCAAGAGGTCGAAGTTTGAAACGATTATTACCTTTAAAATATGAAGTTCTTATATTTCTAACAGAGCAAAATTCTAATTTGGCCGATTATTTTCACGATAATTTATGGCTTCTCAAGCTATGCTATTTGGCAGATATTTTTGATAAAATCAATGATATGAATTTATCAATGCAGGGAGTCTGCGTTAATATGTTTATTTTAAAAAATATACTTGAGGCCTTTGTTAAAAAAATTCTTATATGGAAGAACAGAGTGGAAAGTGGATCGCTCAAAATGTTTCCATTTACTGACGAGTATATAATTAGTAGCAATATTTCAAAAAAAGATACTCCTATAACAAAAATTATAGTTAATCATTTGAAGGATATGGAAGTTTACATGCATAGATATTTTCCCAATGATATCGATACACAACAATGGATTGGGAATCCATTTTCAATTGAAATGGAAGAAATTAATTTTTTAAACTTAAAATCGCAAAAAGAATTTACCGAATTAACAAGTGATACCACCTTGCGACTCAGATTTTCTCAAGTGCCTGTGCATGAATTTTGGATAGAAATCAAATCAGAATATCCTCTACTATCGGAAATGGAAATTCGGAAATTTTTTCACGTATTGATTCACGGATGGAAAAATGTGATGACTTGGCTTGGATGATCACTTGGCATCTTCAATGCTCGCGCTCCGAAAACACTTCGAACACTCGAAGTGTTTATATATATATATATATATATATATATATATATATATATATATATATATATATATATATATATATATATATATATATATATATATATATATATATATATATATATATATATATATATATATATATATATATATATATATAGTTTTATGTCATTCTATTTATTGTGTTTTATTACGACCGATATCCCGTCAACGTTTCCAATTATATATATGTGAAATGAATGGGTACGTATTCTTTAATCCTTATTTTATTTACATTGTAAAATAGTGCGATATTACATCTACATCTTCGGTTAATATATATTTCATTATATGGAGGAGGGGGTCGTTTAAAATTTCCTAAGCTTGAAGGGGGTCGCTATATAAAAAAGTTTAAGAAGCCCTGTCCTATGGCACTAGGAACTGTTAGTTTGACGTTATAGTTAAAGGGTCGACGCATAGTGAATAGAAGACATTTAGTTGGGCATTAGGCAATATTTCCTATATCATCTATTGAAATTACATAAAATTTAAAAACATATTTTTTCAAAGAAATTTCGAAAACTACTAAAGCTTTACTACTATTTAGACATCTTCTGGATTGTTCCTGCGTCGATTGTTAATGAACTGAACTTGCTGACGTTTCACTAATCTGTTGGCTTCTTCAGAGCTTAAACGAAATTGGCTCGCATTCTACTCTACTGTTTGAGGTGAACAAAGCTAACGGAGGGGCATGAATATTCTCTCAGATGACTAATTCCCATATTGGTGAAAAGTAAAGACCTGAGTCGCGGTTAAGATTGGTTGCTTATAGACTCTTTCACGTTCTTTGAGTATAATTCATATTTTTCGTCCGGTTTCTTCAATGTTGGTGAATTCTTTGCCGCATGTGCATGGAACGCTGTAAACTCCTGATGTCTCGAACGAAATTTTGTCTCTGACGGATCGAAGATGTTGGAGAGATTATTGGACAAGTGGTGAATCTGGTTTTGACATTATATTTCTTAAGAATTTTTGATAAGTGATCAGTGATGTTTCCAATGTAAGGAAGGGCAAGAATGACAAGTGTGGGGTTGCTTTTGGACTCGTTGTTTTTTCGGGGTTGTGGTCAAGTGTATTCTGCGATGGATCGCTTAATATCTCTAATGTGAAAATTATTAGAGACAAGAGCAGATGTAATGTGTCTTAATTCGAGGTTTGATAGCTGTTAATTTTTTTTTTAATTTGGGAAATTGCGAAGCTGGTATTTGATGACGTAAGAAAAAGAAAACAAAAGCAAAATACGATTGTCAATCTGCAATCTGCAAACAATAAAAGTATTTAAATCCTAACAATAATAATATTCGATTTTTACATATATTTTAAGCAGGATAATAATAATATGGGAATAACAATTGTTCAAGCGATGTGAATTACTCCCAAGCCTTCCGGAAATAGCTTGCGTCTTGTAGTTTAAAACTTGTTGTGGTTAGTTTTGGTTACTTGTAGTACAAACTACCATTGTCAGTTTTCTATTTTCCATTTAACATGGACTCATTCCATTGTGATAAAGTTCGAATCTTCTTTCAGTTACTAAATCAGCTGGACATTTATGGCCTGCTGATAATCTCTCGTTTACTTACAATCTGGAGTTATAATATTGTCTGAAGGCACGATAATTACCTGTTTATTGAACAAAGTTAACTACGCCTATCGCCGAAACCGAAATTGAGTTCCGCTCGGAATTTCTTGTCTGATATAGGCTACAATTGAATTTAAACAATCTTAAATAAGAGCGTCGATTTTTTAATTTTAAATTTGGTTGATATTTATAAAAATCAAAGCTTGTCCTTTTTTCGAATTCACACAAATCTCGAACATACTTGTCATTGCTAAGAACATTCGCTCTACAGTTTCGAGGTGTCTTTCGATGCGCGGAAAATAAAATTTACCGGCTTCCCACAGCGCGTACCTCATTCACACGTATCCTTTCCAGTCTCTTCTTTAGCCCAAAGTTTTCCTTATGTTCCCTTTTGACTCGGCAATGTCGTTCGTTAAAGTTACCATTCTTAAAGTTCGCCGCAATCCCGCGCAACTTCTTTTGTCGGCGATTTTTTTCCGTTAAACTTTCGTATTTCTCGATTTTTAACTTAATTCCTTAAAGAGGCTTATCGAATATATGTTTTGTCTAGTTAAACAATGTTTATTTCCGAGAGGAGTGAGTTTTAACGCCGTGAGACCCGAGCCACGTGGCGCGGCTTGAGTTTCGCGTCGGGTCCCGGCAATTGACAGATGGCGAAAAGATGCCTCGTATTTACTATTGTCGGGAAATAATGCTCTTTCAACAAAACGCGGGGTCTGAACTTTGTCTCGATAAACTTCTGCATTATAAACTTGTTTTGCGATTTCATGAGGTGAATTCTAGGTAAGATGTTCTCGACAATGGAATTGTCCTAAATCCCTGTTTAGATGGAAGTTTTTTTAAGAAGCTTACAAATAGTTTTTGGAGTCTAGTTTAAAATAGCGCTCAACACTTGTGCTAAGTTTTTTATTTCATGTTGTGTTGTCAATTAAAATATGTGACATGCGTCCTTACCAATTGTCGAATAATTATTGAAACCACAGGTCACGGTAACTGCAAAATCAACATGTTGAAAACTGTGTGTTGAGTTCCAAGGAGAGATATCAACCTTAAAAAATCTACGAGTTGGTGTGCCTCAATTCTTAGTTTTGGGGCTGTTACTATTCGACATATATATCAATATCCTTAGTCTTTCGATTCTTCGATTTAAATGCGATTATGCCATCGGCATAAGCTGTGTTAAAAACTTTCAAGAATTAAGTGTAAATAGGGGTACTCTTGAATATTTAGCAAACTATTGGTTAGAAAATAACGCCTTAAAACTGAACCTTGACAAAACCCAAAACTTGAGGATTTCAACTAATAAAGCTATTACGACTGGTAGTTCTGCTAAACTACTTGGTGTTGTTATCGATGACAGACCAAATTCGTCAGAACACGTTGGCGAATGGAAAGCAAAACTTAACAGTGGACTGTAATTGTTTGTTCTTGTATGTTATTCTTAAATTGCAAAGCAAGCACTAAGAACCATTGCTAGAATTGGCTATCGTTGTCATGCATTATGCCATTGCTATGTGTTTTGTGCACGTATACCAAGAAATTCCGTTAATTATAATTTACTAAAATTTTCTGAGTGACAACATAAGATCCTTAGATAACATATCTTTTGAAAAGAAAGTGAAAGATTACCTACTACGTCACTGTTTCCAATTCATCATTGAAGTTAAAGAAAAGGTAAAAACTAATACAGATCTCTTTATAGTGAAATTTTTACTTGCTACAATTACTCTTTGTAAAATGTAGTCAATAAAAAATAGAAATACAAATATATTAAATGATATTAAAATGATGCAATCCAACTTTTTGTAATTATCTCGTATTATGCAATATGTAAATGCTTTGCTTACCCAAAAAGTAAACTTTCTTTTGCAGATATTAATGCAACTCAACTACAAATTTTCACCCTGATTGCTGGCTTTAACCTGAAAATCCCTATTTCAAAAGTATCAAGTAGAACTTAGTAACTTATTTCTTTTCTAATATATTTAATAATAATCAACAAATGTAGTTTTAATTTTTGTAATTCCTTAGAATTTGTTATCATTCATATATTTTAAATTTCAGATAGCCCTAAAATCAAACTAAAATCAAATCAGGTAACATAGGCGGCGACCCAAATTCAACTTTGCGAGAACCGATTTTACCTAAACATTGACAAACGATTAAAATTATTTGGTGGGCTATCGAAAAATGCGTGTATGATGGCCCTCTTCATTACACGATACAAGGTCACATGAGGGCTGAGTAAACAGCATCCTCTAATTGGCATTACGGGGTAATAAATAAGGGTACGATTATATAATTTCGGCAAATTCCAACCCAAACCCTGAAATTCTCTGATTTTTTATCTGATCAATATCGCCGGTTGTTCATGTTTTCCATGAAATATAGAAGGGGATTATATTTTCATCCTGTTTACCATCGAACCATTTTGATTCTATTAAACTAATAATATGGCTTACGGGAAAAAAAAGAGAAAAGTTGTTCCCGCTCAAGTAATAAATTGTTATGTTTGAGCGTTTTTCCCTATTTTCGTTTTAAATACGAGGAATAGTAGAACTTAGGACTCGAAGGTAGTCTGAAAGACAAGGAATTTCGGGATAAATTTGAACAGCCGGAAAAGCAGAAGGAATTAGCTAGACTATCTTACTATCTTGATAGTCACAGACACGAAATGCTGGAATTAAAACATTATAATCTTGATAGAGATCAAAGTTCATGTGCTAAGAAGACTGCAGACTACGTGTTCAATAATATACAAATGTGAGACTTTAAATCACAAGAGTGATTTGAGTTATTGAGAAGTTTTTGATGCTCTTGTTACCAGACATTGTTTAATTACGAATTTGCTTAACCTCGTACTGCTGACATTACTAAAGAAGATTTATCCTAAGAGGAATCGGGTAGAGAATAATCCAATTATATATTCCATAAATGGTTATGCCAGACTACAAAAAATCGTTTAATTACTCACTTAATGAAGACATTTTCGTGTTCCCTTATTTAGAATTTTTTTCTTAATGCGAAAAGTAATAACAAGTTAAATTTGCAATGACAGTAAACAGGGTGAACCACTCGAAGATGATATGGTAAAATTCAAAGGAAATTGCAGAGATAGTTTTCCGTATTTCAGTTTTTAAGACCTACACACCTAAAATCGTTTCTAAATAACGATCACACTAATTTGTATAAAATGGAATAACAAGTTTGATGAATAAAAATAATGAAAATAATAAACAGCGGTGTTCCTAGAGGTAGTTTATTAGAATGATAAATATAATAATAAATAGAAACAGAATTTGCATGTCTGCATATTTTTCAGTTTTCATATAATTCGGTAGCTAATTTATTTTTTTTTAGGTAAGTGTTTGGAGACAATACAGTGAAGCGGTAGTAACCTAGTTGGGTTCCTGTCGGTAAGTTAGCCGTCTCAAAAACATGATTCCAATATTAAGAGGTTGCATTTAAAAACAAGCTTAAGTTTATGTCATTTCTACTGCAGAAAACTGTGCAGTCGATTCCTATAAAACACTTTGCCGTTTGCTGCGCTAAAGCATTACTGTCCGGTTTTCTTTGATTACGAAGATGTACATCTCAGTAGAGACAAGGGACAAGAAATGGAGTTCGAGTTTAGCGATTAAGGCGTCCAAATCGGAAATCCAGCCGTAACCAATATTTTTCCAGTGCAATGCCTTACATTGATTAAAATGAAGTCATTTATCTCACAATTATCCCCCAAAGTTGCCGATATAAATTATACAGAAGGAAGGATATAGGATACATATTATTATACTGAGCTTTTATATACGGGGTTAGTCGAAAGAATGAGTATTCTATTAATTCAGTTTTCATATTCGCTCATGGTTTTTATAATGCAGGGCGTTAAAATTTCTATTATAATATAATGTTTTTATTTATTAATTTTCAAGTGTTTCACATATTTTCTACAAACTTGGTCTGTAAAATTGTTGTCTTATTGAGTCACACTTTTGGTTTAAAGTTACAAATATTCTACATACTTGCATAATTTTATCTCTTTGTGTGTGCTAACTCTCTTCGTGATTTTTTGAAAATAATATAGAAGGAGTTTTTATGAGTTGAGCTTTCCGAAATATGCAGCATTAATGGTATTATAAAGTTAAAAAAGAAAAACGCATATGTATATATATTTATATATATATAAAAGTGTATATATTTTAAGCACCCTAAAAGTAGTCCTTATATTTATACTTAAGAATATTTTTTTATCGACAGCTAATTACTGTCAATTATTTACCAGTGGTAATTAATTTATTATTTAGTATATTTGGTAAGTATTATCAAAATTAATTAAGAAAAGTGTGCTTAAATTGATAAAGTTTAGGGTGGAAATAATTTACATGGAAACTAAGGTAATCAAACCAGATTATATATGTATATATACATACCAAAATTCAACAAAATATGTGAGAAACTGCAGTACCATAATTAATTTTTTTTATTTAATTATAATTTATTATAGATACCGAAAATGGGAAATAAAAGTGTCAATATTTTCACTAGAAAAAATTGTCTTTAACCGATTGATCAATCTTTTCGACTCACCCTATTTATCTTCATTTGGATATTATGAAACTACTATGTATTTTAATTGATTTCGGACTGATATTAGACAAGTTTAATTTGCTCAAACGGCGACCGACGCTTAGCCAAATTCCATTCTAGGGTTTTTACGCTCAGCTTTAGTCGAACAGTAAGTTTAAGAAATTCCATAATGATTATTATTGCAAAAGGAATGGTGGTGTACAATCTTCTCTCTGCGGTTTATCACTCGGTAAAGTTTATAGAACGTCACTAATAAATGAAAATTAAAAGATATAAAAGCATGAATAATTCAAATTTATTATTGCATTTAAAAAGAATTCTTGAATTTCCTTCTCTATTATTGGACTGTCCAAGGTCGCAAGTTGCATGACAATGCGAAAAAAATGGGATCAACACCTCTCCTAGTGTCAACTTCTTGGATTGTCATCGTAATCAGCGGGAGCTGAGTATTAGGAAAGAGAACGTTTATTTCAAATACCTTATCGCTTCGGCTTTATATTTCGTTTAATTATTTTGAACGTCAGCGTACCGCACTGAAATTGAACTGCGATTTCAAAGGAAAGTATGTCTCGCCAGACAATCAAGATATAATTCGTGCACAGCAAACCCCGACATCGCCATGTTGTAGTGTGAAGTTTGCGCTTTGAATTTAATATAAAATCATGCAGCTATAAGGGTTAATTATAATATACATCCATTGTGACGACAGTTTCTAAAGTTTGAAGCCGAAATCCGAATTTAGCGAAAGCGTTCACGGTAGATGATGTGAATAGACGTGTCGCAGTTTACAATCTAGGGCCTCCTATAGTTGGCGATAGGCCTGGAATTCGAACTTGGTGTGTTGCTAGAATTTAATAAGCAATTGCTGCTGTTGGAGTCGCGTCTCCACTAATGCATGAATATAATTGGAGTTTCGAGTGGCAATTAGGATATGGAAATTATTAACTGCCAATCAAGGACGATGGTGACCTGCGTTTAATTGTCCGTGATTGTTCTCGTTGTCGGTCAGAGATTATACAACCTGTACTTATATGCTAATCGAATATCATTCGGCCATTCAATACACATAGTTTTTTTTTGTGGGAACAAATTTCGGGAATTTAATATGGTAAAAGGATTTCTTGGCTGGTAAACCAGTTAATATGATGCTCATTAAACAACTAATTACATGGTGCACTTTTTTTTCAATTTTCTTTTACTTATTTTCATTTAAACAATGCGAATTTTTTACTGCAATTACTTTCAGATCAACTGGTTGCTATCAAATCAATATGCAGTTGAATTTATAATTATCATGCCTCTACACGGTGCTACCTTTCCGAGATATAGGATGTTGAGATCCTATATAGGAAACTATTTATCATAATTTTCATGCAAAATATTTTTTTTTAAATTGTCTGTGACGTCAGTACCAGATTTGTGTACGAGAAATGGAGTGTTACTGCTTTTTCGTAAAGTAATAATTATTCTTCAAATTCTCATTCAATTTGGAATAAATTTGGCCTCTCGACTTTTTCCACTGTTTTAAAGCAAAAAAAACCCTATTTTGATGCATAGCGATAATTAAAAAAAATATATTCCGCCTGACTGTTGCTGCTTAAAAACAGTGTACAAAATATCGACAAACCAGCTATGGTTTTAAAACTATGTTAAAAAGTAGGACTGATTTTCGACGTGTAATAAAATATGGCTGCCAAAGGCCCAGAGCATTTGTTGAAAGTACACTAGTAATTAGTTTTGTAGTTGTAATTAATTGGCAGTGGCCTTGGAAAAATATATCTTTTTTGGGTAAAACTCTTTAAAATTCAGTAATTTTGTTAATGTTTGTAAAATAACAGACACCTCTGATCATTATTTTCAGTCATAAAGATAAAGAATGTTTTGGCATTTCAACCTATTTAAGAACATTGCATTTCGACATTTTATGCGGTGTCGTTTTCCATTTGTTGCAAAAAATCTTCTTCAGAGTTTCATTCTTAAAATGCCCCATTATTAAGCATTTTAGATATGTACATATGTACTTTTTCTATTTTGATTTCTAAATGTTCCTACGTATTTCCGGAAGCCCCGTATATACCTAATGAGCTCACATGTATTCTATGGAAAAGCTTTTACCAAATTTTTATAGTAAACGATAGTAAATTCCAAACGTGAAATCAAATCGACATTATGCTATTATATCAACAACATATCGCGATGGCATGTGATAACAAAACCACAAATCAGACAGATCTATTATACGACAAAAAAAGGTTTAAAAGTATTATTAGCTCTAATGAGCTCTATAGATTTTATTCTATGATACGGGTAAACTAGAGAAAAGTTTTCGTCGCCCTGGAAGATTATCTTTCAATTTCTCAAAGAAACTTACACAGGCTACTGTAATTTACAAATCTAATTACAAATCTTGTGGATGCCTGCTGTATTGGTTGGTCATAAATCAAACTTTCTTACGTTTCACCAATTATCCTGTTCGCTTGTTTATAGCTTGATTGAAACTGGCTTGCATTTTACTGTGTATCAGCTTATGTATTGTGTGACTAGGGTGGAGCTAAAGGAGGAGCATGAACATTGTCTCGATAACTGATTCCCATATTGGTGAGTCGCGGTTAAGATTGTTTGGTTGCTTATAGGTTTCTATAGATTCTGGGATTTTTCGTTGGTAGAAGAAATGATTACATGTAATAATTTTAGTTTTATCTAATAGCCTTTGATGTCAATGATCGCAATTACTGATCACTTTATTTGTCGTAGTCTTAAGGCTTTCTCATATTCATTGAGCCTAGTTGATATTTTTTTGCCAGTCTTGCCAATCTATTCTCCACCACTTGTCGAAAAATCTCTAAAAATCTTCGATCCGCCAAAGACAAAATTCCGTTTGAGATACCAGGAGTTTACAGTATTTCATGCATATGCTGTACAGAGTAGAATGCGAATCAGTTTAAGTTAAGTTCAGTTTACCTTTCACTAATATGAGAATCAGTCATCCAAGACAATATTCATGCCCCTCCTATAGCTACGCTCCCTCAAACACCACATAAGAGCTACAGAGTAGAATGCGAGCCATTTTCAGAGTCAATTTTCGATATATTTTTTCGCGTTAAAGATGCCGGAAAAAATTATTTGAAAAAGTTGTTTTGAATACTGTTTTGGTCAATGCACAAAACTATTAAAAGTTGTTTT